TCCCTTCCTGCCTGATGACTAAATGCTCTTTGCCTTCAGCAGGCTTTGTGGGAATGCTGGAAAAACCTCTTCTCCCTCTGTTTGGGTGAAATAACAAACCCAGCTATGGGAGAGTGTGTGCTGGAGAAACTGTGAGTTCCTTGGGGCTGTTTTGTGCTTCCCCTCTGTGCTCAGATAATTTGCTGGTCCATCCTCTCCTGGGGAGTGGTGCCAGTGGGGAGAGGTCTCTGCAGGCTGCTGCAATGGGGAAATGCACTGGTGTGTTCTCCCTGCAGTGGGGAAGTGCACTGGGATGTTCTCCCTGCACTGAGGAAATGCACTGGGGTGTTCTCCCTGCACTGGAGAGGTGCAGCAGTGCACTGGCAGCTCTGCTCCCAAATGCAAACCATACGTCCTGTGCATGCACGAGCTGCTTCCCACTGCCCAGAGCTCCGGGTTTGTTCTCAGCTTGCTCTGGAACTTTTAATAATTGTGAAAATAAAGGGAGGGTCTGTATTGTTTATAGTAGGAAAGAACAGTGTAAGATTTCATCTGCTGCTGTTCAGATCCCTCGCTATTTTTGGTATTTGACCTCTGCAGAGAAGATTGCCAGAACTACAGGTCTTCTTAATTTTTATTACGTGTTTCTGCCCTCCTACTCATAAGTTACTCTTATGTTAGTGATTAAGTCTTTGAGAATGTGCCATTTTTCCATAATTTTCCCTGTATTTTTCAAAGGAAAATTTGTATTTCTCTATATTTTTGAGCTAACTTTCCCTTTTGGAAAGAAGAACTATGCCGCTTGGCAGCATCTTCTGTACACCACTCAAAGGAAAAGGGAAATAACTTACGATTTGCTGGTTTGTCTTTTAAAAAACATTCTGGACTGAAGAGGACTGATGAGCCTGTTGTCTTGAACTGATGCTGCAACGTTTAGAATACTGCACAAACAGCACAGCAGTATGTGCTGAGACAGTGTTAAGTGTTCAGTTTGGGCAGATAGGTACTTGCTTTTCATTTCTCCACGGCTGGAAAGGGCTGCCTTTGGCACAGCCATTTGCTTCTAGTCTTGCTGTGTGGCTGTTTCCACACTCCACCAGTGAAAAACACATAAGAAAGGCATCTGAAAATCCTGTCTTGCTTCTTTGGCATCACTTCCACTGTGTGTCATCTATTCTAAACATTGAGTTTGTTTCTTTTTTAAAGGAGCCTTGTAGGATGCCCTGGAGGTCAAAATATTTTAGGTTATTTCAGAGAATGGTATTTATTCTGAGTTCCCAAGATGTAATGAGTTTTGAGTGTCCTTCCAGAAGCTTATTGTTTCTGGTAGTTGTGGTATCCAGGAGATGTGTAGGGGTTGCATATAACAGTGTACTGAATTAATAGAATAAATCACCTGCGTGTAGTTCCAGCAGTCTAGATATAATTACATAGAAGTTTCAGATTTAATTATAAAAGGTGGCTTTTCTTGGCTTGGAGGGTGCAGATGTGGATGCAGCTGAAAGATTCAGCTGTTCCACATAAGGAATGGCGATCCCTAAGGATGGGATTGCACCTCTCTTTCAAGCACAAGTGAGTGGCCAGAGCCAGACACCTTCAGCCAGGTGTGTCATCCCAGTGGTGGTGGTTTCCTGGCACCTTGACATCACCTGGATTTTGTCAGTGTTGAGACTATAGATGCAGACCATGGGTGACTTTGCTGGAGAAAGTGAAAAACATGAATGTAATGAACTACCTCACGTTCTGAGCAGAGGAGGAGCCATGGGGAAAGATGACCTTTTGGCCAGTGCCCTCTGTGATTTTCTTCTGAGACTGGAGCAGTCCAAGAGCAAGCTGTTGGTACAACTCTTTATGTCAGAGAGCTTGTCATACAAACATGAGCAGTTCTTCTGTCTGGTCATCACAACTGGCTTTTGTGCTATGTCCAAAGCGTTTCCAATACTCAGATTTTGCCAAAGGATTCTTTGGAAAACAGATACCTCTGTTGTTGAACTTAAGGAACTAAAAGTGCTTCAGTGCAGAGGACCATGTGCTTTGTAGGTGGCTGCAGTCCAGTGCTCAGTTATCTTCTATTGTGTTTGGAAGACCATTGTTTCCTATTTGTCTCATAAATTGAACATAGATCCTATTCCTGCCATTTAAACTTTCCCATCAAAATACAACAGTGACTTCCCCTTCTGAAAAGGAAGGGCTGGCAGCTACACCCTGAAGTTTGAGCATGAATTGTTTATATAACCTTCAATCACAATTTCATAATAGTCTGAAGACTTTCTTACTAAGGCAGACATTTTGCTGAGTTTTTAGCAAAAAACTGGCTGCCATCAAACACAACTTTAAGTCTTAGCTGTTGCAGTGGCAATAGAATTGAAAACAGAACCCTTCAGCTTCCTGATGGTAGAAATTGCACTTCTGCCTGAAAACATGAACAGCATTTTCTCGTATTTCAGAATAGCTGTACTTAAGTTATTCTGGGCAAAAGAGTTGTGTTGAGCTAATTTTATTTCCCAGAAAACATTATTAAAACTGAATGAACCTTCTTTTGCAGACTCTGGCTTTTTACAACTTCTGAGTATTTGTAGAGTTCCCTCACCTTCCCCAGCAGTAAAAGCTCTGACATGAGTGTTGTAGAAACTGCTTATTGAAAGATACTCTCTATCATAGTCAGTAATATTTAAACAACTGCAGCTTGCCTTCCAAATGGATGACGTTTGTCAGGAACATGTCTGTTTGAATTTACTTGGCCTTTTGAGTAGACAAAGTCTGAATATTTAGAGCTTGAAATTCAGGTCAGCTTGGAAAACTACATTTTTCTTACAAGAAATTTACAGATATAAGCTGATTTTTTTAGTAACCATAACACTGCAGGAGAGCTGGTTTACAGAAACTCCTTTCTTCACCCTCAAGCATGCGTGTTTGAAACTATTTCAATAGAAGCTTTCATTGTAATTCTTCAGTAAATTGAATTAAGCAGTTTTCCTAATTAATAATGTTAAAAATATTTTATTTCTTCAGTTTATATTATTGATTTGCATGGATATTTAACAGTTTTGTGTTTAAGCAGCGTAGCAAACAGCGTTTGAGAACAGTTGGCTTTATGTAATAGTTCTAGTAAAAGCTTGTTTCATCTGAGGACATACCCAGAAAAGTAAGTAGGGAACAAGTTCTGTGGGTAGGTTGTACTCAGGGTAATGCCAGAAAACACGTTGAACTTCTTTGCTTCAGAGGGGAAAGGAGTTTCCACAGGATGTCTGCATTTTATGGCAAAAATGACTGGTAGATGTGCTCTGAAAGATTGCTTTGATGTAGAAGATTAACCTGGGGACCTCATTGTCAGGATATTACTGAGGCAAATCGCTTAGTGAGATTATTTGTGACTTGGGAATTAAGTTTTTATGTGTGCCTGCTTAAGCTGTTTTTTAAGAATTTGCTGGATTGTCACATGGTGTCATGAATATTTGTGTGCACCAAACCAGAGGAGGGAAAGCAAACCCCTGAAACCGCAAACAATGCTAAGAAGAAAAAAAAAAGCAGAATGCAGCTTTGTCATAGCAACTTCTCCTTTGTTTTTGGTCTCTCATGGACAATTAAAATAATTATGACTAAAGCAAGTAATACACGGAAACTTGCACATTCCACCCCCAAAAATCGAGCCTGTAGAATTTGCAGAAAAATTGATGATAGAACAGCTGGGAAGGCATAAGAATATTTTCTTGCATTCTGTGTCTGCCTGATTTTTATTCCATTTTTCTTTGGATTTTTTTTTTTTAAAGGGTCATTTTAGGCATGTGGTGCCTGGGATTGGCTGCTGGTCCAGATCTTAAGGAAATATCAGTACCAGTGAGAAATCACTGGAGTGTTGACCCCTTAAAACTTGCTGTGATTCCCTCAGTGTTTAGGTTTTGGTTCTTTTTAAAAACAGAATAGTGTTATAATTGAACCTGTGTTTTTGACAGAAGTGGATGACTGCAATAACATACCTACATCTTCCTTTAAAAAATGGTTGTAGTTTGTGAGCCACTAAAGCCATTGCAAATATCTCTTTTAAATGTAAATGCTGCTGTGCTTTTCCTGACTCTGAATTTATGGAGTCTTTACTTCAGTTACAGAATACAATTTTCTTTTGTGTTATAAAAAGAAAAACTATGTTTTTCCTTTGTTTTTAGGGCATATTTTAGAAATGAATCTGTGAGAGGATCCAAGAGAATTTTGTTCAATTTTAGTTTTGCTGGGTAAAGTTTGCATTTGTGTGCATTGCTGAAATAGTTTGGGTTTCTGGGAGTGTTTGGTAGTGCCAGAGAGGAATTGCCTCTGAAGGGAAGATTTTTATCAGCTGCACTAAAACCCAGTGTTCTGTGGTTTTACAGGAGGCTCAGAAAACGTTGAGGTGCTTAATTGCAGTGAATTCCACAGGTCACTAGCCTGTTTAGGTGGTCCCTGATATGCTGGCAGGTGTTTCTGTGCGTCATTGGGCACCTAAATACTTGTAAAATTACCTCACCAGGCCATTTCAGGCTGTAGTGCTGTGTAATTTTGGTCTTGTTCTCTGCCTCCTCTGTGCATGTCCCTCAGCACAGAAGTTCACTTAAGAAGTCTTCTGCAGTTGTACGGATGCAGCTGTTTGTGGGCTGTGCTTCCTAGAACAAAACTTATTCCTGCTCAGGTAGAGGAGGTGACTTCATTATTGTTTCCACTTGTGGAGAACATCACGTTACTTTATAAAAATAATAAAGCAAATTTAGCTAAGTGACTTTCCCAGGATTTCCAGATAGACTGTTTAATCTGTTAAGGGGATTATCTGGTGTAGTGCTTACAGACACAGGAGACTGAACTCCTTGAATCAGGGAGCCCTTTCCTGTTCTGTGTTCCTGTGAATGAAGCTGTGCTGAGGAGGACATCAGGATAATTGAATCTTAGCTCCGTGCCTCACCTCTGCACGAGATGCTTCCTCGTACGTGCTTTTAAAGCTAACACTGTTGAAGAATGTTGTAATTAAAACTCTCCTTGGCTTTTACTTGCTGCAGGTTTCTGGCAAGGCTGGGGAGATGACGGCAGTGGACAAGGTGGAGGAGCAGCTGGCGGGTCTGCGCATAGCCAGGCGCTGCGTGCCCAGCGAGAAACCCGCCTACCTGCTGGACATCGACACCTCCACGGCCGCCCAGCCCGGGAGCAGCCGCTTCGTGGCAGTTTCCTGTTCCAACAAATCCATCAGGGTGTACGACAGGGAGACGCTGCGCTTCCTGCGGGAGTACCACGGCCACCCCGGGATCCTCAGCGGGGTCAGGTTTGCGCACACGTGTGACAGCGTGGTGTTCTCAGCCTGCAGCCAGGGCGCGGTGAAGTGCTGGGATGTTCGCTCAGCCGCGCAGGAGCCTGTGCAGGTGTTCAGTGGTTATCCCTCAAACGCCTTCATCAGCTTCGATGTCAGCTGCAGTGACCTCATCGTTTGTGCCGGAACAGAAAAAGTTGAAAATGACACGTTCCTGGTGTTTTGGGATGCGAGAGGCATTACAGACTGTGCCAGTGCCACTAAAGAACCCTTGGGAGTCTATTCTGAAAGTCACAATGATGACATCACCAAAATCTGTTTTCATCCTGTTGAACCCAATTTGGTAGTGTCTGGGTCAACTGATGGCTTGGTGAATGTGTTTGACATCAATAAGGATAATGAAGATGATGCTTTGATATCGACTTGCAATTCAGATTCATCAGTGAGTTCTCTTGGCTGGTCTGGGGAAGATTACAAACAGATCTATTGCATGACACACGATGAGGGGTTCTGCTGGTGGGACATGGCTCAGCTGGACACCGAAGAGCCAATAACCCTGCTGCATGTTCTGGATGTCAGAGAGTCAGTTCACACTGAAAACCACGGCTTGCATTACCTGGTGGGTGGCTTGTACCACGAAAAGGCAGGGAAACTCTTCCTGGTTGGGGGAACCTCCACAGGAGACATCCACCTGATCAGCTGTGGCACCGATGGCCTGAGCCTAGTGGGGACCCTGTGTGGGGGACACTCGGCCACTGTCCGCTCCTTCTGCTGGAGCCCCACGGATGAGTCTCTGCTGACGGGTGGAGAGGATGCTCAGTTGTTGCTATGGAAACCTGGGGCTGTGGAAAGGTCCCTCACAAAGAAAGCATCTCTGAAGATCTCTTCTTCCTTGCAGAAGAGAGTGAGAGTTCACAACACCTCCCTCAAAAGCAGGAAAAAGTGAAATGCCTAAAGTGGGAATCTCTGCTGTGCAGAGCTTTCCTGGTGTTTAATCTCCCTAGGCAATACTTGGCTGTGTTTTATTTAGAGGTTTTCTGTGGAAAGAACTGTGGTGCTTGAATTCCCCCTGGGAATGTATTTCAGTCATCAGAAGAATGCCTTTTATTTTTTTTTAAGTTGCTAATATTAATCAGAAAAGAGTAAATGTTTGCTCCTGAGTTCTTCAACAGCTGATGTTAAATCAAATTATATAAAATTATTTCTGTGGTTATTTAATGTCTCAGACAATGTTTTAAATTGTGTAATACAGGCCTGTGGCTTGCATAGTTTGTTACCTTCCCAGTGATATTTCCTGGCACATTTTAAAAGCTTTTGTATTCCATGCTGTATTTTGCTTTCTTCACAGAAAACTTAATGAAATTGCTCAATTTAGTAAAAGATTTTATGTCACATCTTAATGCCTGAAGGAATTACTTTCTGATGGAACAGAAAATAAGTAGTTTTGCACTGTCACATCACTGGTTTAGAACAGGCTCATAAAGAAGCAGCTGATAGAGCCATCCTTTTCATAGCAGATATGAATGTATTCAACCAAACAGCAGCGAATTTGTATGAGTATGAGAACTGTTAAACTGGCATTATTTCCTGCATGAAAATACCCAAGAATTTTGCAAGCAGCTTCATTCTCTCCTACTAAGTGCACCTGGAAGATTGGGGAGATCTTTGGTGGGTTGGAGAAATTGATGGGTATAATTACACCAGTGCTGCTTAAAATCCTAAACCCTGACTTGAAAGAAATTGGTGTCACATGCCAAGTGGGGATTCTAAAACCCAGAAATGAACACTGCCTTCAGAGACTGTAGTTACGGAGGAGCAGACTGATATGAGCAGACTTCAACAAAACCTTTTAGAGGTTGGCCTGGGTCCTTTAAGAAATGTTTCTCTCTGCTCAGAGGTTTATGCTTGGACATCTCCCCAGGAGAGCTTTGTTTTATTATTCCACCAAATACCCACTGAGTGGTGCAAAACCAGCCCTGTTCTTGTAAAATGGGTGAGACTTCATGCTTATTCTGCTTTGCTGGAAGACTCCAACCTGTGCTCCTGGCTCTGCACACACACTCACCTCCAGCCTTCCCAGGACCACTGCAGGCAAATGGTGTTGGTATTGAGGCTGTAGTTACACATGTGTACTACAACTAAAACCAGCACCAGAATATTTAAGAATTGCTCTGTTATAGATTAGCTAGGATTTAAGATGGGTTGGGTTATTTTATCTTTTCCCTTGAGGGTAGATAGGTAATTCTTTCAGAAAAAGTCCTGAACATCAGGTTTAGAGGATTATCCTGGAGTTTAGAAACAGTTTCTGAGGTACAGAACATATTCCAGTGTGTGGTTACAGCTGTGCTGAAGATGGCTGAATCATCTCTGGAATTGAATCCTTTTCTACCACAAGTATCGAGTTTCCACATGATGTTTCACAAACTGTTAATACCCTTTAGCCACAACTGTGAATCCATTGTTAGTTTGGGTTTGCCTGTTGGTGATAAGATGATTCACTTGGTTTTGTTACTGCTGGTTATTTAAAAGTGCAGCTTCAATTTGAAAATCACAGCTCTCTACATTTTTTTTTTGTTACTTGTGTTAAATTCATGCTGCCCCAACATCCTTATCTGTTGCTTTCCAGATTACATTGTGCTATTTTGAGATGAGGTGGGCAGTGAGTGTCAGGGCTATGATGCACCTGGGTCATGTGCCCTCTCAAGATTTATTATCCCAGGTCACTGTTTTTTGCCTGTTGTGTACAGAGTGGACCAAGAGCTTTAGACTCTGAATTCACTGTAAAGCCCTCATGGGCCTGACTTGGTTCAGTGCCAGACTGGGGGTGGGAGACTGAAGGATGATTCTGAGACCTGTTTCATTGTAGGTACAGTGTATAACTTGCTGTCAAACAATAACTTGCTGTAAAACATCTAAAAAAGATGTTTATCCACTCTTTTGCTGGTATCTTGACACATTCAGTAGATAATGTCGTTGGGTCTGTCTCATGCCTAATTTCTTGAAGACAGGTTTGTGTGCATGTAGAGAAATGCACAGAGAGGGAGCTTGTGGTTGCCTCCACTTGCTTTCAAGTGTCTCCTGAGTGAAATTCCAGTGTGCTCTGCCAGCTGCCTCTGAATTAAAGCAGCAGAGGTGGGGAGTTATGGGACTGAAGAGTTTGCAGTATGCAACCTGTGCCTGTTATCTTGTTTCTGGATTAGGTGGATATTGATTTGTTCTGTATCAGTCACATCTGAAGCCATGATTTTCCCTGGGAAGCTGATTTCTCCCTTTTACGCGCATAACAGAAATAGCTGCGGAAGGGAAAAAATGTGTGTCTGTATCTTAAAATTCCACAAAGCCACAGCAGCTATCACGAGACTGAGGCTTGTGTTGCCTCTGAAAATACTCAATTTTGTTGTTTCTCTTTTTCTTTTGTGTTGACTTAATTTCAGGTTAATACCCACAAAATAAACATAGATGGAACCACATGTGAACAAGTAATTAGCACTTTTTGCTTCTGTAGGCTGCAGACACTATTTCATAGAGCACAATCCATGTGTGATCACATAAATAATAATAGTCTCAAAATCAGGTTAACTTGTCTGACAGTATTTAATCTCTTAGGTTAATTTTGACATCTGCAAGTTGGCTTCAGTATTGATAAGAGTCATGGAATCACAAAATGGTTTGGGTTGAAAGGGACCTTTAAAGGCCATTTAGTCCAACCCCCCTGTGAGGAGAAGGGACATCTTCAATGCATCCAGGTTCCTCAGAGCCCATCCAGCCTGACCTTGAATGTTTCCAGAGGTAGGGCATCCAGCCTGTGCCAGTGTTTCACCACCCTCATTGTTAAAAATGCCTTCCTTATATATAGGCTGAATCTACCCTCTTATTCAAAACCTTTACCCCTTGTCCCATCCCAGCAGGGTCTGCTAAAACTTTTGTCCTTATCTTTTCCATAGGCCCCCTTCAGGTATGGAAGGACTGCAGCAAAGTCTGAGCAGAGCCTTCTCTTCTCCAGGCTGCCCACCCCAGCTCTCAGCCCGTGCTCACAGCAGAGGTGCTCCAGCCCTCTGAGCATCTCTGTGGCCTCCTTTGAACCATGTCTCCTGTGCTGGGGATCCCAGAGCTGGATGCAGCACTGCAGGTGGGCTCTCAGCAGAGGAGCAGAGGGGCAGAATGCCCTCCCTGGCCCTGCTGCCCACACTGCTGGGGATGCAGCCCAGGATGGGATTTGTGTTCTGGGCTGCAAGTGCTCATTGCCAGCTCCTGGCCAGCCTCTCCAGCATCAGCACTGAGTCCATCTTGGCAGGGTTGCTCTGGATGCCTTCATCCCCAGCCTGGATTGACACCAAGGGCTGCCCTGACTCAGGTGCAGCACCAGCACTTGATTCCTGTGGTCCCACTTGAGCTTCTTGAGCTTGCACGGGTCCCTGTGGATGGCATCTCATCCTTCAGGAGTGTCAACAGCACCACCGGGCTTGGCATCATCTGCTGATCTGAGGCTGCACTCGATCCCACTTCTGTGCCATCAATTAAACAGTGCTGGTCCCAGTACAGACCCCTGAGGGACCCCCTGGCCTCTATCTGGACATTGAGCTGTTGATCATTACCCTCTAGATGTGACCATCCAACCAATTCCTCATCCACCCGACAGTCCATCATCAAATCCATCTCTCTCCAGTTCAGAAGGATGCAGTAGGGGACTGTGTCAAAGGCCTTGCAGGAGCCCAGCTCTGACCTTTATAAAACTTACGTAATTGAAGCTATGTGCTAGTAGCTTTCGGAAGTCATCACTGTGTGAATTGTTTAACCCCAGGGGAAGCTTTAATTCCGGAAGCAGTATCAGATTTGTTCCAGTAAATGAAAAGCAGAAATCCAGATAGTCTGTTTAAATGCAAAAACCAGTGTCCATCTTTATTCAGAGTTTATAGTAAACCTGCTGTACGATGTATCTGAACAGTAGGAGATTATCGTGCTGTAAACACATGAAAATTAAATTACTTATATTTCGCATGTCCTGAAATGTACTTTGTTTCTTCTTCTTTTCTCTGTAATTAAAGTGCAGTACTTGCACACTTACCACTGCTTTTCAAGTAAAAGACATTCAGGATGACATCCCATAGTCTGTGGATAACTTCATCAATTACTTGACTGTAGGATTTTACCCGTGCTTTAGGGTTGAGGTGGAAATTACTTAACAAATCCAAAGTTGTGAATTCATTTCTGGGTGGAATTTATTTAGCCAGTTGCCAGCCATAAGCTATTCTGTGGGCCAGATTGTATATGGCACATGTCCTGTGTATTCAAACTGCAAATCTACATTCAAATATCCCTTAGCAGAGAAGCTGATAGAGTAAAACGTTTAAAAGACATGAAATGCAAACTTTATGCTGTTCCAAATGACAGCTTTCTCTTGGCTCCTGCTGTGCTGTGGCTCTGTAGGTCAGAGAGTTGTGTGAAGCAATGCATTTTGTCATGGGAAGTGCTGACTCAGCCCCTGCACACTCCTGGAGCTGCATCTTGTGTTTTACAGGATCCTGGACTGGTTTGGGTTGGAAGGGACCTCTGGAGATCATCTGGTCCAACCCCCTGCTTGAGCAGGTTCACCTAGAGCAGGTTGCACAGGGTTGTGTTCAGACAGGGTTTGATTATCTCCAGAGACTCTCTGGACAGCTGTTCCTGTGCTCTGCCACCCTCACAATAAACAAGTTTTTCCTCATATTCAGATGGAACTTCCTGTGCATCAGTTTCTGCCCATTGCCCCATGTCCTGTCACTGAAAAGAGCCTGGTCCCATCCTCTTGACGCTCACCCTTAAATATTTGTATTTAAATACTTTTGGGGAGAGGCTCCCTTCTTTCAGGAGGGCATTGGGTATGAATACAGTTAATTGCAGTGTCAGTTCATTGACAAAGCTTCTGTACTGAAGGAACTGACACACTTGCCCATCTCCTAGAGCTTGTCTGCATTTGCCATGGTTAATTTGGAGTTGTTTCTCTCCACCCCTTCAAAACAGTCTTCTGTTGTTTGTCTTCTGGTCTCTTTTTAGTAGGTAGTGGCAAATTGTGTTGGCACCTGCTTTTCTGAAGAGATGGGTCCTGTTCCATTCCTCTGGGAGCTCCTGCCCTGTGCATGGGCTTCTGGACTCTGGACTTCCACATCACACCAAATGGAGGGTGGGAAGCAGAGGGAGGGAAGACCAAGGGGAGGTTGGCCAAGCTGACCCTCCGACAGGGCATCTCTCCAGGGGAAGCTCCTTGGTAAGGAGCTGGACCCTCTACCTTCTGAAATACATGTAAGAGCTTATTCTTGAGCTTGATGTAAGCAGGATAGAACCTCAAATAAATTATGCAAGACATAAACACCCTTTAAGCATAAAAGCCAGTTCCTGTTTGTCTGTGTGATTTGGC